ACTGTTGAAAAGCAGATAAAAACAATGCCAGCAGGAATGCAAGCTGATATCAAGGCCAAAGGAGGCCATGCAAAACATCACATTTTTGGTTGTTAGTTGTGAAAAAGGCCTATTTAGTTGTTTGAGTTTGTTATTTGCAAAATAAATAACAATCACATTTTTAGTTCTGAACACGTTTTCAAAAGAGTTCTAAAATGTTTATGGTTTCTCATGTTTATGACAGGTGGTCTAATAAATTTGTTAAGTCCTGTACATTTCAGTATGTTAACAAAACAAAAACCTCATTTTGTAATCTCAGTGATAAGGATTTGACTAAATCATTTAAAGTTGTACGTATGTTGTACACACCTATTTAGCACAACAGTCAAATGTAAGGTTTTCCAACTATTAATGACAATATTCTTTGAACTTAGGTGGACCAATTGAGTGTGCTGCTGGGTATCCCACTGAACTGCATCTTTATGGTGAAGAACTACAGCGCAGAAACCGAAACAAATGACGCCACCGATACACTGATACTGAACACTCTGAGAAAGATCATTGACTATGGAGAGGATTACCTGAATGACACAACACCTTAAAACTACTGAGGCACATGAAAACACTTGTAAGACTGCAGAAACTTCAAAGATGATTTAATTTTAAGAAGAAACATTAAACATTTTCATAATTCCTACAAGTTACTTTTAAGGGACTTTCTTTGTTGCTTTTACTTTGTCATAATCAGAATAGTCTGGTTCATTATGATCTTTAGCCTGGAATTTTGCTGTTTTACAAATTAGTTGGGGGGAGAGGAGGGATATATTGTATAATCTATCAGTATACCTAACAAGGTACATGCTAGATATCATGTTGTTGTCATCTATTGTCTTGCTGAATATATCCACTGTCGTAGAAATCACTGAAATAAAATGTATTTGTAAAATTTCTCAATCACTGTGAAATCATCAGGAAAGACCACTGCAACCTTTGATATAAGAGCCAGTATTCATCTACTCTCTATGATTAGAAGTCACTGTGGTGTCTTTGTTTTTTTGATTCATAGCACAGACTACAACGATAAGGAGACACATCTTGATGTTGTACATTTATGGTGGGAGCAGGGTGGCTGAAGTGACTCTGATGTGTGCAGCACCNCTTACAAATAGAAATGTTGTAATAAGCTTATATTTTGAGTTGAAAACTTTCTGTTGACCCTGCTGCAAATAGAAATGTGTTTTATAAAGTGTTGTTTACGTGCTGTTCATCCCAGTCTCTGATCTCTGATCTCTGTCTCGTTCATGAACACAGACATGGACTGTACACTGGATTACTTTCACTTTCTTTGTCTCCCATTTCCAGACCCAGTGCTGTGAACAACACCAGAAAAAGCACGACCAGCCAGATATTTGCTGCATTTGACAAACAGCGTCTTGGATTAGAATGGCTTTCATCAATAGATTATTTGGATATGGAGGTTTATTGTTTTAACAATTCTTAAATCACACAACACTTCACAGTAATGCTACATTGGTTCTTTGTGCTGCAGTGATGCAGTTTTTCCCCTCCAGTGAATCAGACTTTTTACCTTGTTTAAATGTCCGTATGGTGTTTTTTATATGCTAGAGGACACATTATGAGGAGAATAAACAGTCAACACCATGAATGTAATTACAGTGTACTGATGAAAGATGATAATCTCAAAAACACAGACTCAGACTTTCATAACAAACCGATCTTGTCAACTGGGAGAGTAAAACTCTCATTCGTGTTCCTTAACACTGTTTTTTTGGTTCCAACTTGTTTGGCTGAATTACTCCAATATTACAACTTGCCATTGAGTAGAGAGATTTTTAGCGTTTGAGCAAAGTTGTTGCTTCACTGGTTTGCTTGAGCTCTCATGACTGAGGACAGGTGAGGACAGAAGGATGCAGGGACTTCACTGATCTGTACGTTTTAGAGGACACATAATTACTATTATATACATTTACAGATATATAAATTGATACAATTCAATTAGTTTTTAGGGCTTTAATCAATGACTGGAGAAGG